GGATTGACCGAGAGCACTGTAGTTGTTCAGTAATGAAATTCATCCTCAAAAATACAACTTGTCTAATAATTGTGCATGCAGTGTACATTTTGGGAGTGTTGATTACCTAAATCCAACTTCTGATAAATCCAAGGAGATAACTGTGTTATGTTACCAGTACTTTGTAGTTGTTTAGTATCCATACTCAGCCTCCTTTCATGTATTTGTGTGGTGAGAATGGACATATACAAAAAATCAAGAACATGAGACCCATTCAAAGTAGGCCACAGAGGCAAAAAAATGTTGTAGAAATTAGCTGTGGAAAAGGCAATACAAAAATATGGTTTCCAAAACACAAACTTTCTCAAAAGAAGAAATGGTTCCCTGGATGAAGTAATGGCACCTAAATGGAAAAGTATCAGAAGATGTGAGGAGAGCACCAAAACTTATCAGAAGTCAGAAAAATGAAGGAAACTATACTTTAAAACCATCACATAACACAAATTCTTTGTAGAGCAGGTGTCTCATCTTAATTCTTCCACAATTCAGAAGGTGAACAATAAATGTTGTAAATCTGCATTTGTTTCTACATGCCTGGTGTTTCTAGATAAATAAGGACAAGTACTGGAGGTATATAACTCTCTATGTAACAACTGTTTTATGATATCTGTGACTATAAACAGATGTACCAAACCTCCAGGGCAGTGGTCATATAAAGGGGACAAAAGCAACTAGGTAACTACCTAATGAAAATGGTAACACAAGTATCGCGAGCATGTAGAGTGGTGATGCTGGTGTCAATATTACTCACATATCATCCGCTTCAAGAGACTGGAATATTCATTCATATGGAGATCATATTACATTTTTCCAGGAGGCCTTCTTGAACTGGTTCTGAGCAATGTACGGAAAAGGAACACTGTTTGCAAAAATGGACATTGATGAGCTCCTGACTTGTGGTATATACCTTTCTTTCAAAATTACTTTGTCATTCAACGAGGCTTTAGACAAAACGAAACAGCTCCCAACCCACATCCTATGCCTGCATTCAGCCTACTTTGATGCTGAAAAAGGTATTGTAGAAGGTGTGTGGTTTTTTTTAAAGCAATCACCTCTATCCGCTATTTTTGGCATAGCCAGGGACTTTTACAGATCTTAGCATCTACAAGAAGCTAATACTCTGAAGGCTGAAAAAGAATCAGATTTGCAGACAGTGAAGATAGCTTTTTAGTTTTCCTTAATTTTAATGAAAGCTTAGGCTACTTTGGTTTTGAAATAAATTTTCCAGTCTATGGTTTAAATGATAGTTCTCGTTTTCAACACTTACGTTAAAAATACATAAGCAAGATACATTTCCATTATCATGCTTCTTGGAAGCTTGGAAGAAAGCTTTTGTTTTGTTTGTTATAAGCTTTTCTTCGCTACAAAAAAGGATATTATTTTAATGTCAACAGTAATGCACATAACAACAATTAACATAGGATAAATCTTAAGACAGGTATTTCATAGAACTGAACTATAAATATTTGCAAGGACACATATGAACTGCATTGCTCAGTTACTAGAGGGAAAATGTTATAGGCACCCTCCCAAATTTAAGAATCTCTTACATTTTAATAGAAATACATCCCTAGCATTTCTGTGGAAATCCATGTGATTTAAATATGTATAATACAGAACTTTCACAAACTTGTTGAGATTTGTAAAAGTGGTGGCAGGATGCATCTAGATTAGACTCATTGGTTACAATGAGTCATAAAGATTAATCATGATCCAGTCCTACTAAAAACAACAGAGTGGAACGTTTAATCTCACTGATTATTCAGAAATTTTATTGGTTTCAACATGCCTTGCTCCCTTGTAAACATGGCAACTTTTACCATAAACTACCCAAGCTGAGTGGTATAGTCTTGTCATATATTATGAACAGAATTGGTTTCTAAAGGTGATGACTAATCTCTGCATAACACTTAATTCATAAGTGTCTACATGGACTCTTTACAAAGGTTATAAATTGGTACAAGTAATGCAAAAAACTGACCTTATATTTCAGAGACCATCAGCTGCATGACTGACTTCTGTTGGATTTTGCTTACTTTGATGGTTACATGAGGAGAATAAATTGGACTTAGAAATAATTATATTAACTATTACACAATTTAGTTTAGGAAAAATTCCTACAGAAATCACAGAACACTATAGACTTTCTGCTTTTGCAATAGAGAGAGAAAGAATCTTCATGGCCATCTAAAGAAATGCATTGTGGGAAATTTTATCTATTTGATTTATGTACATTACTGCCCATCTCACATATGTGACTATGGGTGGCTAATAATAATATTAATATTAATAATAACACCATCAACAACAACATGTGCCTTTCCCAGGTCCTTGGGAAGGATTTGATAGGTGGATAAAAATGCCAAATCTAGTCTAAACATCTGGCTGTGTGGCCAGCCATAATGAACTAAATAAAACATATACAGTATAAAAATAAATCAGACAGCAGCTAGAATCATAAAACAACCATTAACACAGCCAGGAGACGTTCCAACACACACCCAGGGCCCCAGGCTTGGGCACAAAACCAATTTTTCAAGGCCTTGGGGAAGGCCAGCAGATTCAGGGCCAATCTGACCTCTGGAGGGATGTTCCAGAGGATGGGCGCCATGTCAGAAAAGCCACGCCTTCTTGGCCCCACCAGCTGACACTCCTTGGCTGATGGGACCTGGAGCATAACTCTCCTATCGGATCAGGTATACAGTGACCATACATCCTTTATTATAAAAGACAGTCCTTTATTTCAGAAAGCTGTCCTTTAGATTTATTTTTCAAAAACTCACTTTTGTCCTTTATTTTGTTCAATTAACTTTTATCATACAAATGGTACCACTTAATGCACAGTCTTTCACATTTATGTGAAAAATATAGAAATTGAATTGTCTTTTAAAAATAAATTTACATATACTATTTGATTTTAGGTAATTTTATTAGAATATGGGTTTTTGTAAAGTTTTTCTTGGTTTTGCTGTTGAATTTTCCTTTGTAAAGCAAAGTTATAAACATAAACAATTTTTTTTATCCTTATGAACCTCTTTCAGATTTGCCCCTTTTTCAGGTTTGTCCTTTATTTTTTCCAAGAAAATATGGTAGGACAGGTAGAAACAACTGGGAGAGATGCTTCTGTAAGTAACCCAGTTCCAACCCATGAAGGGTTTTAAAGGTGACTACTTTGAATTATGAACCTCTTTCAGATTTGCCCCTTTTTCAGGTTTGTCCTTTATTTTTTCCAAGAAAATATGGTAGGACAGGTAGAAACAACTGGGAGAGATGCTTCTGTAAGTAACCCAGTTCCAACCCATGAAGGGTTTTAAAGGTGACTACTTTGAATTACTACCTTGAATTACACCTGGAAGCAAACTGGTAGCCAATGCAGCTCATGGAGCAGTGGCGTCAAACGTGCCGAATATGTTTCAGCATTATCTGGAAGGCCCTAAGTTGCCCACCCCTGCTTTAAATGAGAGATTTTTTTTGTATCGCCCCACATGGTTATCTTCTATCTAGTCACCTAATCATAGCCTGTTTGGATCTAATCAAACTACAACTATAGCAAAGAAAAAGTTAATACATACATAACTTTTATACTATTAATAACTCTATTTATGATGTATAGCCAAAAAAGCCTTCCATTTTCTGCCTATACTGAGTAAGAATAAATGGAGATTTCCTACTTAGAAAAAAATCATAGGCTATATTTGAACTTCTACCTTTTCACATGGTAAAATTAAATGGTACTTCAAATGATGTCTCTGGCTTTTACGAGGAGAGTGCTGAAAAACAAACACCTAACACACACAGATGCACACACCATCTATAGGAGCTAGAAAGGATCAAGTTAATTTTCCAATGATAAGCAAGGGGAAAGGGTGGGGATTAAAATGTGCAATTCTGTCACAATGCATCTTGCAAATCTAGCCGTTTAAACATTACAAGCAATGTACATTTTGTAAATGTTCAAATGTTTTCAAAGATTAAGCACTAAAGAGCAGGCCTAAAATAAACCTGTAAAAATCATACTGCTAAGCTAACAGGAAATGTAACAATATAAACCTGTGAAAATCAATAGTTTGGAGTTGACAAAAACCACCTTATTTTGCACTTTAATGGATCTTAACCACTATACTCAAGTAGCAATCTTGAGTAAATTCCATCATTTTTATGGGGCTTAACCTCTGAATAGGAAGATTATCTAGAATAAAGGTGCCAGATTCAGAAGTTCTGCAATGGAGAAGCTCGCTTTGCACCTGTAGAAGAATTGACACTGTGGCTTTGCTGACAAACTTAACTGAGATGCAGCTGGTCTAAATGCAAATATTATAAATGCAATCACATATGGTTTCAAAAGGTAAGACAAGAATCAGTTGTTGAAAACTTGTCAAGCCTTTTCATGGCAGGCACGATCAGGAAACAAAACCTACATGGATTTCTGGAAAGTTCTCTATTGCTGGTAAGGAATTGTAACAGAATCCTGAAAGCCTACCAAAGTAATTCTCCACTCAACTTATATCCACTCAACTTATATTATAGTTAAGGGGTCTATTTCCTCCCTTAACTGTTTTGCTGCCTCCTCTATATTCCCATGATCTGCTAGATATTCCATAATAAAACTGCAGGGAAGTAGACATTGGCTAAACCTTAGGAGAAACCTTTACACAAAACAAACACTTTAAAAATGGGACTATCTTGGAAGCTTGTACCGTTTTTTGCTGGAAATATTTGAACAGAAGTCTGGACAGTCAATTGCACACTGTGATATACTGGACCACTTGACTTCCAAAGCCTGTTCTAGCTCTATGATTGATACGTGAAAGATAAACCTGGAATGAACTGTGCACTGGTTCTGAAGATGGAAATCATGAATCTTAAAACCAAGGAAGATAAATTAATGGGGTCATAAAGCAAAAATATCTTTGGTGCATGCAGGCAACCTCAGAAGATCCTTAAAGGAGACCCGCCAAGCTTTGGGAAGGTGTAGATTCCTCAGATCTTTGAGGAGTAATGCTTCACTCGTTCATGTGAACAAAGACCTCTCCAACTTCTCAATCCATTGAGAATAATTTAAAATTGAGACTAGTTTCTGATTATATTATTTTGCAACTGACTGAAATTATGTCTTTTTGTTAAGAAAACTGAAAAGGCATTTCAGTTCCAATGCATCTGATTTTTCAGGACTCAAACAATCAACATATGTGAAAATGATACATCAAATGATACAATATTTGCTTGAGAAATTAAAGATACATGCATACACAAATTATTTGACATTCTATTGGTACAACAATTAAAAATGGCAGAGTTGTTCTTCAACTTGAAAAAGTTCAATCTAAAGTTGAAAAATTAAATTTATAAAAACAAAACAAAACAACACAACTAAAGTTCTTATTGTTTTTTTTAAAGGTCTGTATTTTTTAATCCAAAAAGAACTTCTATTTGTTTGATAAATTCCGTTGTGAAACATTAATCCAATCTCTGGTCAAGGGAGACACGTAAGATGATCTTCTTATTCTGTAAGTAAAAAATCCACATAAAAGTTTGAGCAGTACCATAATAAAACATTTATTAGACATAAAATACATAATTTCAAAAGCCTACACATGAAAATACAAACATAAAATGATACTGACTGAAAATATACATATAAAATAAATAATATAAAGTTTCAGCGATTCCATTCCAGAAATCTAGGTAACCCCCCATAATCACCACTGTAACACAAACATGAAGAGGTGACAAGAATTTCTCAGAACAGTATCTCTTCAACCCATCTTTCATGCTTCTTCCAACATTTCTCATTGAGAGTTAAGACACAGAAGCAAGAATAGTTCTCCACTGTCAGTGTGAGTCCATATACAGGTAGTCCTCGGGTTACTACAGCAATTGGGACTGGTATTGCCACTGCTAAGTGTTGCAATCGTAAAGTGCAACATCACATGACTGCATCGCTTAGCAACAGTAATGGAAAAACTGGCAGTCCCGGTTGCCATCGTAATCCCAAGATGTGCGAGTCGTTAAGCAGGAAGTGGAAGGAGTGCTGCAGGGGGGTGAGGGAGTGTTGGGGGGTGGGGGAGGCTGGTGGAGACTCTGGGAGACCCAGCACAGGCCACACACAAGCACAGGAAGGCTGGGAGATGGAGGGTACTGTGTGGTGTGAGTGCAGGAAGGCCGGAGAATGAAGGGTGCAGCATGGTGCGAACACAGGAAGGCTGAGGGGCTTACCAGAACAACTTGCGACCTTCTCTGCTGGCTTCCCCATTGACTGTGTGGGAGCTGGCATGGAAGATCACAAATGGTGATCAGGTGACTGTGGGGCACTGCAACTGTTGTACGTGCGAGCCAGTTGCCAAGCCCCTGAATCGTGATCACATGACTGCAGGGGCACTGTGATGGCTGCACCGCCATAGGTACAACTTGTTCAGCGCCATTGCAACTTCAAATGGTTGCTGAACAAGTGGTTGGTAAGCGAGGACTACCTGTATACAAGATGGTTTTCATTTTGTCTTGTTAAGGAAATTCATGCAATCTGCTCCTGACTTGCTCAAAGTTTGGGTGCAACCACTGATACAGTATGATAAATTGGAAACTAAGATTAGTGTTAATTGTAGTCCTTATCTAGGCTGTCTCCTAGGGAATCTTATATGAAGCAAAGAAAGAAAAAATCACAACAGAAAAAAAAATTAACTGACCAGTGAGGAAGACAACCACTTCTGAATATTTTTGTTAAACTTTCCAGGTCTTCAGTTTTGATACATAATTCTTCAAGCAAGGTAGCAAGGAACTGTGTATATCCTTTATTCTGCTGAGAATGTGCAAAAACAGGAATATTTTCTGACAAGCTGAAAGGCAAAAATTGAGTGTTTTCAAAAAGATATAATCTTACCATGTCAAGTAGGTTGATATAAATGTCAAATATGAATCAAGAAGTAATCATAACATCAATCATTTTGATAATAACATCAACCATAACATCAATCATTTTAATAATAATTCACTGAAATAATTTTTTATTAAAGTCCCAAAATTAATTTGTAAGAAATTAAAATAAGAACAAAAATGAGTCACTTTGAAATAGTGGCAAATTCCTACGACATTTTCCAGCAGTAATTAAATATTAAATTATCTTTGTCAAATGCAGGTGGCTGTTTACTAGGATTTGACTTTTAATGGTAAGGCTCAGGAAGAGAGCCCTCCAACTGAAAACTGTTTCTAATTAGTAAGTGTTGGGCAAGTCAGTGGATCCACATCAAATAAAAGGCAAAAAGGCATGACAAAAAAATCCTGTGGGATTTCAATTTTTTGGAAGTATCTTCATTGTTGAAAATGTAGGACTCAGATATCCACACCTGAACTGACTTTTCAGAAGGGAAATCAGTGGAACAAATGTAGATAATGCTGACATGTTCTAGGTCAGGGGTTTCCAAACTTGTTCAGGCTGTGGAATCTGTTACTTGGAAAAAAAAAATTCCAGAATTCCTGATTAAGAGGCAAAACTCTAGTGACAGAAAATTGGCTGTGTTCCATCAACTTCTCATGGAACCTTAGGGTACTGTGGAACACAGCTTGAAAAACCCAATTCTAGGCCTTACTGACACATTAAAATTATTAGATCACCAAGGATTAATGATATAGTCACCCAATATTATTAGATTTCAAATGCGAAAATATATTATATCCTCAAGAATGACAGTCTGACCTTGAAGAACTAGAAAACAGACAATATAACCCAATTTTTTAATTGGATGCGGGGAGGAGTAACAGATCCAGAAAGGTATCAGACATCTATTCCAGGAAAACTGGTACAAAATAGTATTAAACATAAAGCATGTAAAATAATGGATTTTTGTACAAAAGCAGTATGGCTTCTGCAAAACGAAATCTTGTCACCCTAACCTTGCAGAATCACAAGGATTAGGCAGCATACAAAAGTGAGTAAATAAATAATTATATGAATAACAAGGGTCTTGGAGCTTTGAGTACTCCGATTTTCAAAACACTTTTACAAGTTTCTTAATATAGACTCTTATTAATGCTTGTGAAATAAGAGGATATGTGTTCTTATGAAAGAGCAGTAAACAATGGCTTGTTGTTGTTTAGTCGTTAAGTCGTGTCCGACTCTTCGTGACCCCATGAACCATATTGCGCCAGGCCTTCCTGTCCTTCACTGCCTCCCTGAGTTTGCTCAGTTTCATGCTCATTGCTTCAGTGATGCTATCTAACCATCTCATCCTCTGCCGTCCTCTTCTCCTTTTGCCTTCAATCTTTCCCAGCATCAATATTGTAATACATTTGACAGTTGTTGCAGGGATCTAGCAGACTTTTCCTGCATCCGACACACTTTCTATTTACTTTGTAAAGCTTCTTCTTCCATGGTTTAATAACTGGCTTACTTATCATGTGCAACAACATTTACTACTGTCTAATCCATACACAGAATGAGTGTCTAAACGGATCCTTCCCCCCCGCCCCACACACATAAGGGGATCTTGATGGGATTGTGTATATAGATCAGAGGATTTCCAATCTCTATCTCACTGGGGGGGGGCACAAAGGTATTGATGTGCACTTATGTTTTAAAGGTGCAGCATTCAATTCCTCCTACCTCTCCTAAAAAGTTCACAAGGAGCAAGATCTTTGCCTGCAACTTCTAAAAGCTGCTTCCAATCAAACTGGACTGAATTGGATGGACCAATTCTACAAATAATTATCATGTTGAATTGTAACAAATTCCTTATGTACAAAGTCCTAGTCCCACTCTTAAATTACTTTTTGGATTATAGCGTAAACCACGTAAGCAACAACTTATATTGAATATCCTCACCATATAAAGCTTTGACTAATTACTCTTTTTTGGGGGGGGGTGCCTTCAAGTCAATGTTGACTCCTGGAAACTGTCTGGACAAGTCCTTGCAGTTTTCCTGGCAAGTTTTTTTCAGAAGTGACTTGCCACTGCCTTCTTCCTAGGGCTGAGAGAGAGTGACTAGCCCAAGGTCACCCAGCTGGCTTCGTGCCTAAGGTAGGACTAGAACTCACAGTCTTATGGTTTCTAGCCTGATGCCTTAACCACTACACCAAACTGGTTCCTACTTACTCAACAGAACAGCTTTTTAAAAAATCAATTACATATGTTTTCAAGGCAAGATAAGTGAAATTGGTTTTTCTTCCAAGAAAGAATGGCTACCCCATTAAATTTCTTTAGTGACAAATATAGTGGTGCCCAAATACCTGTGTAATTGCCTACATTTTATACACAAGGCATTTGAGACACACAAAAAATGAATATGCTCGTATGGAAAGGCACATTCTATCTGATTCTGGGTGATTCAGCAACACCCAACTCTGAGCAGCCAGGAATCTAGCCAACACCTACAATGTAGCTCCAGCAGAAAAAGATCACTATTTTCTCTACTACTGATGGCAATGAGAAGTCAGTAGTTTGCAGAGTGATCACTGGAAGTAAAGAGGCTGCCCCATGGCTTCTCTGCCCCTCCCAACAACCCTTTCAAGATCATTGGTTTCCTGCAACAGGGAACAAGTGATCTGCAGGTCTGGCTGTGATTGTGGAGGGAAGAATTATTGTTTTTTTTTCCCACCCAGGCAGCTTGCTCCATGATTTTCAGGAAAGTAGGGTGTGCCTATGTAAGTATATATCAAAGAGAAAGAGAGAAATAAGTGGGCATGGGTACCCCTACATGTCAGAGCCTTATACATTTCAGAGACAAAACAGTTATCCTTCCCCCGAACTACATGAACCAAAAGGACCAAGAGATATAGAGCAGGGCAATTTCTCTATGAGTGAAAAGTACAGCATAATTTTGACATATGGAAATTAAAGTTCTAACCTGGAATCTATTTTATACTGAAGAACAAATAGTTCACATTCCTTTTTTATATCTAGCCTCCTAATCTCAGTTCTCAGTCTGTACCCCTTATGTCTGTGAAACAGAGAATTTGGATTTTTGAACTTGCCTTGCTCTGTGACATGGATTTCTACAAAACGCTTGGACTCTTCGCCACAGAAGCTTTTCCAATGATTATTTACTTTAGCTTTACCCACTGCCACAGGGCACATAAAATATGAATATAACTCTCAGAAGCTGCTGGTCAATGGGAGCAAGTAATCAGAACAGTGCGTTTTTTGAGCTGAGCCTCCATTACTTGAAGCAATCCAGTAAGTGAACTTAAAAATAAATAAATAAGCAGACAGCACATGAGGGCTCTGAACTTGCGGCAGCAACAGAAACACCAGCAAATAACAAGATATGTGAATCTAGATGTCATTTCCTCATCTCAGGAACTCCCTTGTAGTTCTGTAAAGCTAGGAACATATACGTATAGGCTGATATTTTAAGGAAGCCATTTTTCCCCCTCCATTAACAGCAAAGCACTTGGTGAAAACCTTTACAAAGCTGTCTAACAGTTCAATAATAATTGGGGTAGACAATCATCTCCTCTGCTAATGGGGGCTGTTGTTCCTGGGAAAGCACAACTCCCTATAGGTATTCCACAGGTGGCCATATTCGGCTTTGGAGCTATTGTATTCACTGGAGCAATGTTTCTCAACCTCGGCCACTTTAAGTTGTGTGGACTTCAACTCCCAGAATTCTTAAAGTTGCTGAGGTTGAGAAACAGTGCACTGGAGAATTCCCTCATATAAACCAACCTGGATGAGAAATAATCTACACCACTACAACAAACAGAACTATGAAAGCCACTAACCAGTTTGGGGGGGGGGGAATAAAACATGCTCACATTCTGCCCTGATTGGTGCAAGCTGGCAAGGCTATGAATAAGACAGAGATTCCTCCACCTACACCATTTCCCTGGGAAACTTTGGCTCTGCTTCTGTACTAGTACTGCATACAGGGTGTCTCCAATGGCAGCCGAGCCAATTTTCATTCAGCTCAGCTACCCAAAAGCTCTAACTGCCAATGTTTCTGTTTTACAGTGAGCCCTTGAGCTCCAGAGAGCTGGGAGGGGGATACTTTCCCCACTCTGGAAAATTCCTGTCCATCTGCATGGTTCACAAGGCATCATAGCATACTAGTTAAAGGGCTTTTCCTGGCTAAATCAGCTGAGTTTCGTTGTTATGGTGGTTTTCTGCCCTCCCTCGTTGGCTGAGTGGAGAGAGCATAGGTCAGCTTTGGTCATCCCCACAATAGGGGCTGTTAGGATAAACTGTGCGCCGTTGCAGGAATACCTTGAAGGGTCTGAGTAATGCACAGCGTCACTAATCTCATTTAGGGTTACTCTGGAATTCAAAAGATGAATTGTCAATTTAAAAAAAAAAGAGGGGGGAAGACTAGGTCAGATGAACAGAAACCACTAATATTATAAAGTTGGCACTTTATACCTCATCTGCTTCTGGATCACAAGAACTTCTTGACACCACAACTATAGGAACAATAGTATTCTGTATGATCAATGGCAGACACAGTAAATTGTAATTTTATTGTTCTTGCTTTTTAAAACTGTAAGCCACCCAAAATCGTTTGAAGTTGGGCAGCCTCTAAATTTAACAAAATAAATAAATGCATAAACCTGAGATTTTCACCTTAAAGAAGATTTCAAAGTGATGTTCAGAACTTTTGCCCATATTCAGTTGCTTTTTCATTTACCCCAACCACTTGCAGGTTTTGCCCATATTGGGAGAGAAAATAATACCATGGAAAAATGGTTTTGAACTGTGTTTTCGGGGAAAAAGAATTCTGGTGTTTTGGAGGGAAGTTTAATAGAAGTTAAATTTAGAAGACAGAGTGGCACTCGAAGTGTGAAATAAAGGAACTGAATGCTGGACTACAACCAGGGAGATCTACTAAGACATGCAGCTCATTGAGCA